CCTTCTTCTGGAATGAGGTACAGAAAAAAGGCTCTCAAGAGGTGCTGGGTCCTTGATCTTGGACTTCAAAGCCTCTAGAACTATAAGATAGTACATTTTAATTCACTATAAATTACCCAGTCTTGGGTACATTGTTATAGCAGCTCAAAATGAGCTAAGAGATATATCAACCTTGGATCTGGAAACTGTATTTGGACAGCTGTGATCAATATGAGAAGAGCGAAGATATATTTAGGATAAACATAGAATCAAGACTATAAAATAGTTACTTTTCCTGGGTATGTTTGTGATGTATTAGTGCTTCCAAACTTTAATATTAAACACATGAATCTCCCAAGAATTTAATTAAAAATCAGACTGTTGTCATGGGCCTTGGGATGGGGCCTGGAATTCTGCCTTTCTAGCAATGCCTCAGAGTTTTTATTTTATTATTTGCAAATTAAAATTTATTCCAAATTATAATACCTACAGTATATTATTTCCCCATTTGACAGATAAGACGGGAGGGCAGGGTAGCGGAGGGAAGGCTATGATGCTTGTGCCACTATTGTACCAGGTGGATTGTTTTGCCAGGCCAAGTGTTACTGTGGCCTGAAGGATTCACAGCTGGGTAAAACTCGTGGTTATTTTTATCCTTCAGTAGTAGGAGTAGGAGTAGGTGTCTAAAAGCTACTCCTCTAAGAAGGCTATTGCAGACTGCTGTTTTACTGGGAATAATGAATGGTACAGCATTAATACCATCCTTAGGGTGTCAGGCTATAAGTTTAAGACTATGGATAAGGCTCTGGCCATATAGCTATGTAGGGAAGACTATAGATAAGTAACCACATTTTTCTACTATTTTTCATCAGAATACTAGATAATTGATATTCCATAAGCAAAACATAAGAGACAGTCTCTGTTGTCCTTAGCACCTTTTATTGAAGTATGACCCTTGATGACAATATGGCAGGCATATCAATGTCAGCCAAGAGGGGAATGGTGGAGGACACAAACACACAAACAGTAAGAGTCAGAAAAATAATAGCATTGCATGGGATCGACAACTCCCCGAAATTGTACAGCAAACACTGATTCTTTATCTATATACACTGCCCCATGCCCCACCCCTTCTAAGAATTTAATCTTCAAATAATACCATATTCTGCCACAGAATTATTATTGGCAATGAGAGGGAGTTGCCAAGTTCCACATGGGTAGAAGTAGCCAGAAGTATACCCAACTTCTTCCATTTGAGGTTTGCTACTAGAAAAGCAGCACCCTCGGGGAAGGCTAGAGTTGAAGATGGAGTTCTGGTACCCCTTACACATCTTTTTTGGCACACGAAGTTAAGTGGCAAACAGAACTATGAACCCAGTCTCAAAAGAGGCTTTTTATGTTTTTACTCTCTTTCCTTTCCTATGCATCCAATTGCTCCCTTTTTAGGGCTTTAATTCCAGTATAGCTGTCTCATCCTCTAAGAGTCCTCTAAGAGTCTACTTGGGTATTTAATTTATATCTTGACTGAGTCTTCAATCATTTGACTTGAGGAGCATCTGTTATCTAGAGCCGGGGGATGGGGGGAGAATGGGTGGATGACAGCGATCTTGCAATGGCTCTCTTCTATCCATCACCTTGCTTTTCTATTATCCAGTGAGGTTTATGTAAGTTATTTGAAGGGAAAGAACGAAATACCAGTAACCTTTGGGTGGGTGTTGCCAATCTTATGACCTACTTTCATGCCGCTATCTCCTCAGGGGCCTTGGAGGATGGCTGATCCTAGAAACCAAGACCAGAGAGAGCTATCCCATGCCAAGTAGCACTGGCACTTTGCAGCAATGTTCCTCACTGTGGAGCGCCACAGCAGAAGAGGAGGGCATGCCAGTGTCAGTTGATTGAACTTTGCTACTCAGCTTATTTTTGAGGTTATCTTTCAAATACTTTGGAAACTCAGCCTTGTATTATGAATCCGACTCTACAAACTCTTGAGGTGAGACGAATGACAAAAATGAAAGTTAAGGCTTTGGCTGTAGTCCAGTGATATAGCACTTGCCCAGTATACACAAGGCCCTGGATCCCACTTCCAACAATGCTAAAACAACAAACACACACAAACCACAGTTAATAGTATTTTTGGTATCATATACTTAAGGTATAAGAAAAATAACAAAGGCTAAAAATACCCAGCCTATGGCCATGATATCAAGCACAGTGACTGCTCCTGGTTCTACTATAGCCAAACAATCTTCAAAAGATAAAACACATAACTCTCATACATCTTTGAATGATACAACACATAACTCTCATCATCCTCGGATAAGATATCTGAACTGTTTTATTGATTGTCCTAGGGCCCATTATTAAAAGAAGGCAAGGTAAGTGTGGCCTCTATTCAAAGCATCTCCTCACCTCTCCCAATTTCCCTTTGGGTAAGTACTCAGCCATCCTGAATAGAACAGGCTAGAACAGCACAGCACTGCACTACATAGCCCTTCCCTCACACCACAGCACTGCAGAGGACAGCACTTCACACCACAGCACTTCACGTGACAGCACTGCATAGCACTTCACATCATACTACAGCACTGCACAGCACTGCATAGCGCTTCACATCACAGCACTGCACAGCACTTCACATCAAGCCACCCCACTGCACTTCACATCACAGCACTGCAGAGGACAGCACTTCACACCACAGCACTTCACGTGACAGCACTGCATAGCGCTTCACATCACAGCACTGCACAGCACTTCACATCATGCCACCCCACTGCACATCACATCACATCACAGCACTGCACTCCACAGCACAGCACTGCACAGCTTTGTACAGCACTTCACATCACACCACAGCACAATGCTGCACAGCATAGCACAGAATAGCGGCTACAGAGCTTCATGCTCAGTATAGATTTGGGGGTTATGCTTTAAACAGTTTGTAATCTTTCACTTGAGGGGAGAATGGCGGTACTGATATAGCAACAGTGGTTATTGTAGAGGCAGCAGTACTAAGAAACAAAAGCATACCCGGCAAACCACAGAAAAGGTTGCTACCCCTTAGAATACCCTGCAGGCCAAGATTCTCCCAAAGCTATCAGACACAGCGTGGAGATAATGGAAGAAGTGTCCAGTATTTGTAGCAGCAGTGAAGTTCTGTGGCAAATTCTTTGGTTGAATGAGGTAACACTACAGCTACAATGAACCTCCGAGGACCCTGAGGAACTCAGCAGTGATGTGGTGATGCCTGGGCCGGGTGGTTTGGGGCTTCTGTTGTATTGTTAGGGATAACATCAAGGACTGTACCCAGTTAGTAAGGAACAGAAGACTGAGCTAAATAAAAAGGCAGTTTGGTAGTGATTCCCCTCTTGCTATTGTCCTCCTGAATGCCTTTCCAGGACAGAAGCTGGCTACCAATGGCAGGTCTTGGCAAAAGCAACAGTTTCAGTTCTTTGTACATTAGTCTGTGGTTTTACCTTCCATTCTTTCAGTTTTCATGATCAACCACGGTTTGACGATATTACATGTAATATCATAGAGTTAAACTGATTAATTTTAAATTATGTGCCATTCTGAGTAGTGTGACAGGATTTTGCTCCATTCCACATGGATCATGAATCATTTATTTATCCAGTGTATCCATGCTATATAGGCTACCTCTCTTCAGTCACTTAGTCCCCTCAGTGACGAGATTAACAATTGTGGTAAATACAGGGTTTGGAACTAGCCAAGATTTCAGGCGTCCACCAGAGAGGATGCTTTAGCACACAGGCCCAGAAGATAAGGAGGGATACTGTATGTCTAGATCCTGGATGGATCATAATTTTCTCTGGAGCCTGGCCCTGGCTGAAAACTCTCACAGATTTGCTTGCTTGAGGCTCAGCACTGAAAAAGCAGTTGTTGAAAGAGTGCCGTCCACACTTACTCTCACGCATTCATGCGTCCTGCATTGTTCAGTCTTAGGAGAGTACTCTGGCTTCAAAAGGCAGTTAGAAATCATTGAATGAACTCTGTTCAGGAATGCTATGACCATCTAGACCGCAAGTAAGCACACAGCCAAGCTATGGTGGGGAAGCTGTGAGTTCAAGGGGAGAACTTTCTTGGACACTTGAAGCTATGGTAGGAAGAATTCAATGTCTGGACACTTGATTACTTAGCCAGGGTGGACTCAGGCTTATCTACAGAAAAGGTTTTCCTTCTGGCTAACCTCCCCCTCTCTAATGCATCTCTTCTTGCCTTGTGAAAGAGGAAAAAAGATAACATAAAAATAAATAAAATCAAAGACCATTTGAAATATAATAAGAACCCTCTTCCTCAATACTGAAGTTCTATCCAGAAGTCAGTTGCAATAGAAATATTAGAGAAGAAGAGAGTCAAGTCCTGGCACATGACTCCTGGAGATTCAGGGCAAGAAACGAAGTAGCAGGAAGGCCATAGCAACAACACTGTCAACTGTCAACTGTCAAGCTGTTGGGGAGGGTAGACATGGAAGTACTTTGTTGAAACCTGGGTTTTACTGGAAGGGAGGATGAATACATGGGTATACCCAACATTTGCTCCCCTTATGTGCAATCTCTCCTTCTGTGCCTCCTGCTGCCAATTTTGGGAGAGGGCCTGAAGCTGGTGTTAGGTGAATGCATTCAACTCAAGCAAATCTGTGGACAATAGCTAAGCTAGGTCACTAGCCCTAGGGAAGGGGGACATTGCAAGGCAGATTTGCACTGACCATGAAGAGGGTATGTGGCAAGGGAGAGGACTGAGTCTGTGACGTCTTTGGTGTCCTAGTACAGAGATGAAGGCACTTTAATGGTTCAATGGGCAGCGAAGGGCTCCCACTCACTGGGAAAGAGCATGGTAATACAACCACACCTTGCTGCAGCCCTGGGGCCGTCCCAGGCTCTCTTTGGGGGATGGCTGAAACCATCTGCTAAGTACTTTCTATATACTTGGCTAGTGCACCTGCTACTAGAGACTGAAAGCACTTTCCCCTGCAGCTGGGCAGGGGTGCAGGGGCACCCGCAGAATTAGAATTTGTTGGGCCCCAAGTTCAGGCTCTCTTTGAGGCATTTAAGTTGCTCTTCCCCAAGTTTAATCTTCTCCTCCAGCTCTCTCTGTTCAATGATGAGTGCAGACTTCATCTTCACAAAGTGCTGGTAATCTTGGAGCTGGTCCTGAGGCAGGTATCGGGAGACCATGCCGAACACCAGCTTCTCCCGGCGGTCCACGTGCTCCTTCAGCTCCTTGGCATCTGCCAGCTGGCTTGTCAGCTGCTGCTTCTTCTCTATCAGCACCAACTGGGGAAGCAGAGAACCAATTAAATGCTATCCCAATCCCCAGGCATCTGCACAGCAGTCTTCCACCAAGGAAGCACCTATGCATTCTGCTAATTAACCAGCCCTAGATTTCCTGTTCTGTAAGCATTTACATACAAAGCTCCCTTGCCTATAGCTCGAGAAAGGCAAGCACGACAGCACTTTGGGAAAGGGGGTGTGTGCAGTCACATCTTTCCATCTCTAAGGCTGCCTTTAAAGCATGGATCACCACTTGGTTTGGTATGGAGGAAGCCTCTCGCCAAGTTGAACTAAGTCCCTTCCATTTGCTGAACAAACACCACTGTGGTGATGGGTTCTGTATGGTGTCTCTGTGTGAGTGGACGTGAGTGGGGGTGTGTATTTGAAGGTGTGTGCACGTGTACGGGGCCTCTTACCCTGGATCAAAGCTCCTTGTATAGGGCAAGGTAATGGAGTTTAATTCAATAATAACAGAATGAAATAACCTATAAAATGGAGGGCCCCTTTGCAATTCTAAGGGGATCAGAGGCAAATTTACGCCTGCTGCTGCGGCTATTTCTGCTTCTGCTACCACCCCCACCCCTATCATTACCATCACCATCAATCACCACCACTAACAGCTAGCACTGATTCCATATGGACTCTGTTTTGGACACTATTTTATGCAATTAACTTGGATTATCTCAACCATCACATAAAACACATTAAGCAGGCTACATGCTTATTTCATTCTATAAATGAAGCAAGTAAGACAGAACAAGGCTAAGTAAGCTGCTTATAATCACACAGCTAACCTGCAGAATATCTCGTGGTACTAAAAAGCCAATGCTCACACTCTTAATGCTGTTTTCTGGCTCCCTTAAAAGCTAAAGAGGCGTTTTTTGCAGCTACAGCCTCAGGAACAACATCTGTACCTTCTCCTGGCTGGTCTCTGAATCGATGCTGTTGAGAGCATTCTCTACCCGGGCCAGTCGTCCAGAGAGTGACAGCAACAGGTTGACCACTTTGTCCAGGTCCCCAATAAACAAATGATACTTTTCAAACTCATTGGATTTGCAGACAGCTTTTAAGTTGGCCTCTACCTCTTCTCCAAGGGCAGAATTGGCATTGATATCATCCTGGAGCCCTCGTTGGGCCTCCCGCAGGACAGAAAGTTTCCGGCCAATGCTTTCAATGAGCTGAATCTAAGGGAGTTAAACAGAAGACAAAAGGATGAACTTGGACTTCAACAGAAACAGATTTGGGCTTAACAGAGCACACACCTGTATCCTGCACATGGATGGTGAAGGCAAGAATATTTCAACCTGGCCTATACACTGAGAACTTGTCTAAATGGTCAGACTAAAAATAGAAGGGGGAGGGAAGTTGGGATAGGGGAAGGAAAGACGGAATGGAGAATAAAGAGATAGAGTGAAACCTGAGCAACTGAAAAGCAATTCCAGGTTTCTGAGTTAGGTACCTTCCCTCCCTGTTTGATAGGAATTTCCATGTTACCACTAAAGCTCTTGGTATCAGATAAGCAGTACCCACAGACCAAGCCACATTGCAAAATGCAACTGAGACTATAATAAATGGGAGCTAGAGAGCTTCTGAGGCCCCAGATTGGAAAGAATTGTCATCAGATATTTGCTGATCACTTTATATGTTTTCCATTGGTGCTCATTACAGTGTGCTAGGTCCTGGCCCCCTTGGATCATTTTTGAGGCCTTTGAGTGAGAATGAAAATTCTTCAGTCACTATGACTCTGTTTGACCTCTAGATCTGCCAATTTCTATCTGAAGGACCTGAATGATTTGACTTAATTGAGCTTCACTTTCTCTCTTTGCAGAAGGATGGTAGGTAAGTGTTACGTTCATTACACTGAGTGGTAATGATTCAATAATAATTCATATGACTTAGCACAGAAAGTGTTCAATAAAAGGTAGGCCATTGTTATTATTATTGTCCAATATGACCCATTACCTCCACTCTCCGGACCCATTACCTCCACTCTCTGGAACCATTCGGGTTTAGCTCTCCACTTCACAATATTCACAACCCCCATTCTTAACTTTCTGAATTGATTCTGTAGCTCCATTTGCTCAGTTTCTCTGCAGTGGGCTATTCCTGTTCTTTCTCCAAGGCCCAGCTTTGCTCCCACCCTTTCTAGGGAAAAACCTCTTCTAGAAGTCATCTCTGAGTGGCCTCTTTCTTTTTGGAGCTTTGAAATATTTTACTGTTAGGGGTATAGCTCAGTCATACAGTTCCTAACACACATAAGATACTGACTTCCATACCTTGAACTGCAAACAAGCAAACAGAAACCTCCAAACAAAGTAAAACAAAACTTCTAGAATCAGACTTTACAGTGTGTGGTGGTTTGAATAGGAACGGCCCCCATAGGCTCATATATTTGAATGCTTGGTCATTAGGGAGTTGTACTAATTGAGAGGGATTAGAAGGCACGGGATGGTTGGAGTAGGTGTGGCCTTCTTGGAGAAAATGTGTCACTGGGGGTGGGCTTTGAGGTTTCAAAAGCTTAAGCCAGGCCCAGTGTCTCTCTCTTCCTATGGATCTTCCTATGCATCTCTATGCCTATGGATCCAGATGTAAAACTGTCATCTGTAATGTCTGCCTGTCTTGTTGCCATGATGATAATGGAATAAACCTCTAAAACAATGAGCAAGTCCCAATTAAATGCTTCTCTTTATCAGAGTGCCTGTGGTCCTAGTGTCTCTTCACAGCAATAGAATAGTGACTAAGACACAGTGTAATTTTAATTTGTTCTAATTCTATTTCATGAGTGCAAGTCCAATCTCTTACTGTTTATTATGTTTCTCCAGGGAAGCACCTCCTATGTGCTAAGTTTTGTTGTGTGTTTTGTGTGATGAAATGCCCATGCAAAACAGCTTAAAGGAAGAAGAGAAGAATGGTGCACTTTGGCTCGTGGTCTCAGAGTTTCAGTTCATTGTGGCAGCCAGGAGCACAAGAGTGAGAGCCTATACTATAGGTTTGCCTGCCCTCACCCCTTTATTACATCTGGGTCCCCAGCCTATCGGATGGTGGCATCCCCACATTCTGGGCGTGTGTTCACTCACCCTTTGCTAATCATCTGTGGAAATGCCTTCCAGAACTCCCAGAGGCCTGCTTTGCAGTCTCCAGGCACCTATCGATCTAATCAACTCGACAAAATTAAACACGACAGCCTAATCCTCTAATTTCCAGCAGTAATCAGTTGTGTGACTGCACTCACCAGAAGGCAATGGAGTAGAGTGGAATTTGAGTCATATAAACTGCTAGATACCAATCGTGCCTTCTACAAACTCAGAAACTTTGGATACAAAGTTTTCTTCTGTATCTATTAACTAGAGCAGTCTACTTTTGTCCAGGGCGCTGTGACAGTTGATAGTAAACATGATCGCAGAAGCAAACTATTTACTGCTGTGTCTGAGATAGTAAATGCCAAGCGCACATTTATTTGTGTTATTGTTATCATAAACATTATCATTACTATTATTATAAGGAAGTCAGGAATATATATCTAGGGGCTGGAGAGATGCATCAGTGGTTGAAATGCTTGCATGCAAGTATGTTGCGGGAGCTCCTCCCGCTCCTTCAGCCAATAGCCGCTGAGATACCAGCCCATTGGGGCGTGGTCTCTCTTCCTTTAAAAAAGCAGCCACTTCCCTCTCCTCTCTCTCTTACTTCCTGCACAAAAGAAGCCAGGCACAGCAGAATGTATCTGTAACCCTGTCACTGGGGGATGATGGAAAAAGAGGGATTCCCAGAGTTCATTGATGAGCTAGTCTAGCCAATCACTAAGCTCCAAGTTTAGTGAGTGCAACTTTCTTAAAAAGAATAAGGTAAGAAACAACAGAATGCGAAACCCAGTGTTGACCTTCAGGCTACACATGCACATGTACACAAACATATATGTGTGCAAACATAACATCCTGGTCCAGATAAATACCAGAACGAGTACGAGTGAGCTAGGTAGGAAGCAAGAGGGAGTAAGCGCAAGTAGGTGAGTGAGTGAGTGAGTGAGTGGGGAGGGAGGGAGGGAGAGAGACAGAGAGAAGACCTTGTTTAACTAAGAGGTTCTGAATGGCATGATGCTATCTATCCTGGTTGCCTACAGATTTTGTAGCCAGTATTGCATTGTGGTTAAGATCATAGACTCTAGCAACAGATTGTTTTGAATGTCACAAAGTAGTGGTCTGACCTGTAATACATTATTCAACCTCTGTGGACTTCAACTTCTCTACGGGAAAACGTAGATAACAATAACATCCACATCACAGAGTGGTTGTAAGAATTAAATGAACTAGTACATGTTGAGGATAGTATCATATACACAGGAAGTAAGTTCCACTCAGTGTATGATTTATGATTATTGTAGTTTAAGCTTCTGGGATGGGTAGGTTTGGAGTGTTCCTTTCTAACAGTTCATTTGGAATTGTTGAAGGTGATCAAGACTAAGAGGTTCCAAAGCCTGCTGTCAAAAAAAGTCAGGGAATCATCATGTTTGTGCTTGGAAGTGTGGGAAAGATCAGCAAACCTGCCAAGAACTGGGAGCCCAGGATAGGAATGAGGAAACATAACTAGGTTTCAAAACATCCTCGATTATTTTGTCACCTCCCATTCTCTCATACAGAAGTCAATGTCAGTGTCAAAGGATTTTCACTGACTCACCGGGGATGCCAACCCTTTGGGGACTGAGGAAAGAATGAAGATGGAGGGAGGGAGCACTTTGCTTTTCAGTACCTGGGTTCTGTAGCCTGAACCGTCAGCCTGGGGAAGGTGTATTGTACGCACTGGAGGAAGCTGGCCAGTCATTACAGGCTCAGCCAGAGCTGAGCTGTTTTCCTGGAACACTGCAAACTGACGACCTTCCTCCCCTTTCTTCCTAACACACAAACACTGCCCTGCCCCACCTGCAGCCATTGCAAATGACTCTCTGCTATTCTGTCCTTTGCCATTTCCAGTCATCTTTCTTCATTATCTTTGTCCCTGGAAAGTCCTGGCCTTGAGTAAGCAAGGAGCAGCTCTGCCATGTTCAAGAAACATAGACTCCAAGGAAGAGCATCTGGATCAATAAAATCAGATACTTCTATGGTCCAATTATTTCCCTGACATTTTGCTTCAGATGGGAAAATGGAAGGAGGGCTTCTGAAAATGGCCTTATGTTTTCCTACAGGTCATGTCCTGAAAGAGAAATATGGGCAGAAGAGCAATTTACATTGAGTTCACATGTCCACAAAATGGCAAATTGGGGCCTTTGAGGTTGCTATGACAACTCTATTTGCTTATGAGATAAAATAGGTAAGTGCAAGGGGGGTAAAATGATTCCAGGAACTTGATTAAAAAACTGGGCTACTGGTACTTAGAGGAAGAAAGGGAGACTTGGAACAACAACAACAACATCCCCATTTACCTATTTTGTATTTTCAAGAGATAATTGACCATCATTGCAAATAAATAATAGTCTTTCAGCCTATAATTTCTCCTTAGTCAGTCTGTTCTCTCTCCCAGAAACTTACAGAGAATACGAATTAATGGCACTACCATTGGCCAGAGCTCTGATGTGCCTTAGGCAGTGACTTAGGTTGCTTAATTCAAAAGGACAGAATGGGAGAGCAGAGATGCAGTTCTGCCTTTGAGTCCAGGACTCATTTAGTATGTAACCTTGGAAAAGGTAGTCCCTTTAACTGGTTACAAAAACAGTGGGGGCGATAGTAATACTTATCTGGCAGGGCTAGGGCTGTAACTCAGTGGGAAAACACTGCCCTAGCAAGTGCAAGGCTCTGGGTTCAGCCCTAGCACTACAAAAGAAAGAAAGTGTGGGAGGAGGGAGGTAGGGAAGAAGGGGAGGCAGAGTGAGGCAAGGAAGGAGGGAGGAATGGAGGGGAGGAAGGGAGGTTGACTGGAGATGCAGCTCAGTGCAAAATGCTTTGCTAACACATGCTAGGCCCCAGTGTCAGTCCCAAATACTTTAAAAATTTCTACTGAGACTCTTTGAGGTTGAGCATTTAGATCAGCAGCAGAGCACCAGTACAGACCACATAAGGTCCTGGGTTCAATCTCCAGTGACAGACAGACAGACAATCAGAGAGACAAACAGATACACACACACACACCCCTCCCACACCGCTGTAGCAGGGTGGTTCTAAGGACTAGAGAGATAACAATTAGTGCTACTACTGTTGATCAGAGAATTAACTGCGGGAAGGCTGTTTGATTTCCATACTGAAACACAGGCATGAAAGACATGCTAGAAGGTGTGGAAGGGCTAGTTGTTCTTCAGATACTGAGCTAAATGCTGGAAATCTTTGGGCTATATGAAAGTCTTACCTTTTTTTGAGCCAGTTCATAGTCAACTCCCTCCTCTCCCAGGCCTGCCTCTGCCATCTCGGGCTGCTCTTTTAATTTATTCAGCAGTTCTGCCTTGGCCACAGAGATATTATAATATGCTGAGTAAGAGGTAGAGATTCCTGGGCCCCCTGGAGGAGGTGAGAAGTGCTGAAACTCTTGTCTGTGGAAACAAAAGGGAACCATTTGAGCACTTTGTTCAGAGACCACTGATGTTTCGCCTTTCTTGGTTTTCTCTACCTGTAACATTTGACACCACTTCCCCTAGCTATTATAAAATGGACCAGAAGGCACTGTTAAAAGATGAACAGGTCACATGGAGGCTATCTAAAAGCAATGACAAACTTGTAGACAGTCTGTTTCCATATCCTTCTATGTGCCTGCCCTTAGGAGCTCAAAAGACATTTTTATCATTTGGCTCAGTCATTAACACACCATTAAAACAAAGAACATAGAAGACCTCCAAGATTAGTTCACAACCTTCAGGGAGGGATTGGGATGAATAAATGTGATCCTTTTGTCTGGTAACCTCTCCTCTGCCTAAGTACAGCCCCTACTTGGCCCCGCTCTACCTAATCTGCTTGATTACAAAGGTACCCCATGGCTTTCCTCATACTCATTTCTTTTATCCTATTGCTACTCCTGCTTGAAATGGTCACCCCACTATTGATTTCCCATAGCGAAGAGGTCACCTGTGACCTCAGCCATGGCCACTATTTGGAAGGCAGGGATTAGTATCCCTGCCAAAAACTTCTCAGGGTCCATCCCATCTCTCACAGGCTCTTCTGACGCTGCCTCTTGTAGGGCAGCTCTTTGGCCTGAGAAGGGGCAGCATCCCTCCACTTCCAGAATATTCTTACTGGCCCAAGCCCCCTGCATGGTTGCAGAGAGAAATGGGGAGAGAATGAAGCCAGCGATACCAGGGGCTTGAAAAGTATAGCGGCAGAGCCTATTGCCTTGGGGTTACTGAAGCACGAAGGTACATAGTGGTGCTTCACAGAGCCCCAGCCAGAGAAAGAGAATTTTTCCTTAGGAAAGAAGTAGTTCTGGCTCCTCTCTGGCTTGGACTTAGACTCTTCTGATAATAAGCCTTCTTGTCTAGTGGGAAAAGTGGGAAAGTGAAGGCTATTATGTCAGGTTTCAGTAATGAAGGGGTGAACAATTCTGCCCAGGGTTTATGCAAGGGAAAAGCCTACACTCACAATAGTGCTGTGTGTACGTTTGTATATATGCATGTACATAGGTATGTATATATGCATATATACACGTATATAGCAATATACATATACATATGTATGTACACACATATTCCCTTTGCCTAGCAGCTCCTCCTACCATCCACCTGTCTGCGTCACTAGCCCTTTCTAACCTCTAGCTGTTTGAGAGGGAAAGTAAGAGAAACTCATTAGTCATTTTTGCAGCTATTTGTAGCTCTTAGATAAAGGTCAAATATAATAGCTAAAAAGGCTCCACAGCTATTTACTGATTCATGCTATGCTGTCTCTTAATTAATCACACAAAGGCAACCTGGGCATGCCAATAATCCTCACTCTAGAGGCACTTTCTTAACACGGAGGGTTTCAAACTTAGAACTATTATATTAATACACACACAGACACACACACACACACACACACACACACACACACACACACTTCTTGTTATACCCCAGAAACTGTCTCAAGACAGGTAACACACATGTGCACAGCACACACATGTGCACATATGGACACTCACAACTGAATGCTTATCGTAACCACTTTACAGACAGAAAACATGAAGAACCAAGAGGGAACATTATATTCCCTAGGTGAGCAGCCAGTAAAGTGTACACCAATGATTTTCCCTTCGGCCCTGACTCCACATCTGTGCGTTTATCCTCTATTTTCTGTGATGGCGACAAATGAACGGCTCGATACTCTACAAACTCCAGACTGTAAGGAACTTTTGAGCTGGACTATTCCTCTGATATCAGAGAAGAGAGACTATTATGGAGGGAATGCAAAGAAATGAGCTTTGAGAACTCCTGTCTATAAATTTATGGTACATATCAATTTCCTGGGTCAGAGAGTGTAACAATCCAAACTCAGGTGCTACGTGGAAAGTCAGTTTGTTGGCCAGCACAGCCCTGCACAACGTTACAGTGGATCGTATGAAGCACTGTACTCCAGGGTTCTTTTCCTCATTACCCTCATGAATAGGGAAGGCATTGCAAGAAATCTATAAGAACCTAATCTGAATTTGAAAGTAAACATTACATATAAGATCAGAACTGTCCATTGAGCACTGAGAGAACGTGCTTAGAGTTTGCAGCACAAACCAGATCTACGCTGGAATCAGTTATTAGCCTGGAGCAACGACTGATTATTCCCACCACTTCCTCCCATACATGCTAGAGAATTTGTAACTAAACAGTAAATGTGTGGTAATGATACTGTGGCTTAGCCTGGCTGAAATTTGGACATCTTTATTTGCTTTTCACTTTGCAAACCTTAAACATCTACTGGCCTCAACACTCTCTATCTTAGACTTTCCTAGAGTCTGAAGAGAACTGCCGGGACCAACGATACTGAGATGATGCTGTGCGCTATGAGTTGGATTGCCTGCGATCTTGTGAGAAAGTTAGTTTCTCTCTTAGCTTCACTTTTCTCATCTGAAAGGTAGAGGGGAGTAGTTATAACTCTCCACTAGGTTCGTTAGGGGAGACTAAATCAATGTCCAAATAAACCCATCCTAAATGAAAACTACTTAGACTATACCTAACCTTCCAAAGCATACAGCTTAGCAGAGCACATTGTAGAGTAGCAGTCATTTCTCTCATTTGCTGACTGCCTCTGCTGCTCCTCAGTACCACTAAAGGTTGCTGTGAGACCCTTACTAGCTTAGGAAAAGGCCAACCTCCCCACCTTCAAATGCCACTTCTACTGAGTGCATGTTGCTTTGCCATCATTGTAAACCCTAAGAACGAGCATATCACATGTCAGGAATGATCTGTTCATGAAAATACTTAAAATCGGGCTCAGCGCACAGTAAACAGGTGAAGAAACTTCACCTAGGATGGAACTGATGCTCTTCCTTAAATTTTTATCACCAGAAGAAACATTTAGAATTGATTTTTGCAGCTAGAAGCCAAGGTTAGGTGCAAATGAATGTATTCCCTTGCATCCTATAATTTCTTACAAACAAATCACTGGAGCAGGTTATACGATGTTTAGAAACAGTGATTTCCTTCTCAGTGGCTCAGGTGTCAGGACAATAAAGAGTCATAGAACTAGACCTGCTACTTCTGGTATACATTACCCGGTAAGAGAGAAGATGGAAGAACAAGATCTTTTGGAGAGAGGCTGCACAATGTGACGGAGAAGGAGAAGAGGAGGAGGAAGCAGGGAGGGGGAGGAGGACGATGAGGAGGAGGACGTGGACGACGAGGACAAGGATGCTGCAGCAGGTGCAGCTGCCTGGATTTAGAGGCAGATAGATCTGGATTTGAGTCTTTGCTGCACAATACTGAATTAATTAGTCCCTTATTTTGCTCAACTTCAGCTACCTCATTTGTCAAATGGGGATGATAACGGCCAACAGAGATGTTGGGAAGAATAACTTAAATAATGTACATTAAATGTCAGGCAGTGTCTGGCACATAGTAAGTGCCTAATTGAAAACTTATTTGATTATCTATTTAGCCTTTGAAATATTAGTTCAATGCCTACTATCTGCCAGGTAACCTTTCAATCTTCCAGCTGTAATACGTAACAAGCACAACGCAGCTAGTTTCTGCAACATATTTTCCAGTTAAGAAGGAGCCACATGTGGTCTGCTAAGGGCTTCTCACAGAGCCCAGGAGCTGGGATCTATAAATGCTTTCCTTATGGCACCTCAGAGAACTGCTCAATCAGTGCCAGATAACCAAGTAACAAGATTAGCCTGTCCATAAAAGTCACATAAACAAGGTATTTCTAATAGCAACCACTCTCAGGCAAGGTCCTGCTATAAAAGGATTTAAAGAAAACAATTAGGGGACACCTGCCTGCTCATCCCCAGTGGAGTTTTGCAAGTGGGAATGGAGAGCTAAGAGGCCAAACACGGAGCAATGGAGATCATGAACACACACACACACACACACACACACACGCACGCACACACGCATGCACGCACACACACACACACACAGTGATGCACAGATGAACACTCACATAGAAGTCAGTGGCAGCCCACAATCCTGTTTTGATCTCTCAGCCCAGCCAGCTAGCCCTGTCAACTGCTGCCTAATGTCTGGCAAAGCAAATCTGCAGAAGCAGGAGAACAAGAGGGAGAAGGAAGTGGAAGGGACAAAGAATGCCCTTGGCTGTTTAAGGAACCATCAGAGCATCTAGTTCAGCAACATCTTTCTTCTGGGGCTGGGGGAATGATTCAGAGCCCCAGGCTACTTTGCTAGAGCAGGTAGGAGCCAGGCTTTAGAAAAGGCCGAGGACAAGCCAAGAATGGCTTATGCTTTTGTGACTGGGGGTCAGATATTGGTGTATACCTTAAAGATCCATTGAGAAGCAATAGCATATTTTCTTAATGATAGGGATAAAACCTTGAACTTCATTTCCTGAGCACCTACTATGCCCCAAGTATCTGTTGATGTCCTTTACATGCAATTTGTTAATAGTCAGAACCTGGTAGAACAGGTACATTATCTTTCACACCTGTTTTCCAGGTAAGACGATCAGTGTTATACAGTTGCTAACTAACAGAGGTGAAATCTAATTCATGTTGCTGGCTGCCTTTCCTGGGACCCATTGTCTTTCCCAAACACTTACTTTGGGGTCACAGTGGCTTCCTGCTCAGTTGTCCTCCACAATCCACGAGCGCCATAATAGCAAGGAGGTTGAGCTTTCTCAGGCTGGGCTCCAGTGTGGCCCCTTACAGGAGGCACAAAATCACTGGGATGACGAGCAAAGACCTCTTGCTCTGGGAGACTCTGTGAGGACTGCCTTGAGGCCTCCAGGTGGCCCACCTTCAGGGGTTGTGGCTGTTCCAGGCCCTCATCTGGATTAGGGGCATGGGAACCAGTGGTTTCGGAACTAAAATACTGGGGTGGTAGGTCATCTTCTTTCCGTCCCTCCTCCTCCTGCTCTTGCTCCTTCTTCTCATCTACTTCCTCATCACACCTCTGCTGCTGCTGCTGTTGCTGTTGCTGCTGCTGTTGTTGTTGCTGCTGTTGTTGTTGTTGCTGCTGCTGTTTCTGCTGCTGCTGGGCTGCACGGAAAAGCCTATATTTTTCCCAGTTGGGAGGAGGAGGGCGAGGGGGAGGGAAAGCCTTCTTTCGGGCCCCAAGGAGTTCTGGCTGAGTCTCACTGCCTTTAGTAAATGGCTCCCTCTGAGGCATGCCCCAGGCCCGGGGGTTTGGAGGTTCCAAGCTGATGTGACTCTCTGAGAAGGCTCGGTTTCGCAGTGGGCGGGGCATGGAGGCAACAGAACTCCCATCTTCATAAACTGAAGATTCCTCTGCTTTGTTCAAGGCGAGTTTGAAGTCTCCAAGGAGGTCAAGAGATGAGATTGCTCGGTAGTTTGACAAGTCCAGTGCTGGGTTTTCAAGGCAAGGGTGGAAGGGAGTAGACCATGAAAAGCTGGCCTTAGAATGAGCCATTTCCCTACAAAACAACAGAGAAGCATTGACCAAGAGAAGCATGTGGTAGATAGGCCCATATTTCGGATGACATCATGTCCGCAAAGTTAAAATGACTACAAAACTCTAATAGATGTAGTAAGTGCAATGGCCATGGTGATAAGAATATAATTATGAATACAGCAAACACATTTTGTGCATAAACTAAGTACTAAACACTAGTGTATTGGTTCTCAACCTTCCAAATGCTGTGGCCCTTTAATACAGACCCCTTAATACATGTGGTGGTGACCCCCAATCATTAAAACTATTTTGTTGCCATTTCATAACTGTAATTTTGCCACTGTTAGGAATTGTAATGTAAATATCTGACATGCAGGAAATCTAAGATGGGGACCCTGAAAGGGTCCCAACTCAGGCTGAGAACTAAGACACTAGTGTACACTTTCAGTGCTTTCTATGTTCAAACTTATTTGCTCATTATAATACACCTAGGAGGTAGTTCTTACAGGTTGGATTTTAGAGTTTGGGAAAATGAGACATTGTTAGGATAAGTAACTTGTCCAGGGTTATAAAGGTTATGAGGTAGAGCTGGGATTTGAACTTGAACTGTTTAGCCAAAGTCAAAAATAAACACATAGCACCCCGACCTATTTATGGCACTCAGCCTGGAAATGCAATAATCTAGGACTTACAATCGTGGTTTTCCTGCTTTATTTGATTTCTCTCTCTTGTTTTACTACGCAGGTTTCTAGTGCTTAGAAATGTACAGTGATTTCCATAATGAATGCCCGTGGCGCCGCTTACTACCCAGAATCAGCACAATTTGATACTTTACTATGAAAAGTGCACGAGGTTTTCTTGTATCTCACTCCCCACTTCCATTCTCCTACTGCCTATTTGATGCAAGATAGATTAGAAATGAACTACATATAACTTCCCTGTTCTTACATGTGTGCTAAGAGTACTAAGTTATTCACAAGGATCTACCACTTTTGCTTAAAAATATTTTCTTCTATCACATCACAATCTGAAATTTCAAAAAGAACTGTTAAATTATAGGCTTTTCTGAAAACTAACTTTAAAAAGTAGACAAACTATTCTGCTATCCAAAAATTGAGGATGGGATAAAGATGAGTTAATAACATGAGCAAATATGAACTCATATGAACTCAAAGAGACTGAGGCAGCAAGCACAGGGCATGGACAGGTCTGTACTAGGTCTTTCCTGCGTACACACACACACACACACACACACACACACACACACACATATACACACACACACAGCTTCCAGTTTAGTGTTTTTATGAGATTCCTGAGTGTGAGAAATGACTCTTGTGCCTTCTATTGGACTCTTTTCCTTCTATTTGTTTGTCTTATCCAACTTTGCTATGAGTGTTTTTGTTTTATCTAATATTTTATTTTGTTATATTAAAGTGAGTGAGTGAGTGTAAATCTAGACACACTGTAAGGCTAACAGCTGAACTGTCACACCTACTGGAACACTCACTGGGTGTGTCAACCACTCTAGGGCAGGCATCATGGTCAGGGGCAGTTGACCAACTTGTAATGGACTCCATAGTTTTGTTGTGTGATTTCATTTGGCTATAGTTTTTTTTTGTGTGTGGTAGCATGGTTTATTTTTCTTGGTTTTGTTGTTATATTGGGTTTTTGTTTGTTATTTTGAAAAATAATTTAAAGTTGGGTGAGTAGGAAGGAGGAGAGGATCTTGAAAAACTTCGGAGAGGGGAAGAATATGACCAAAATATACTCAAAATTATATATATATACATATATGTATATATATATAAAGGATAAGCAAGCATCTTATGAAACAACTGTAAGTAAAAGTATGTTATTAATTAACAGAACCAACCAGTAAATTTAGAAATAAAGTAAACTAATCAAGCATGGTGACACACACCTTTAACCCCAGTACTCAAGAGGCAGAGCAATGGATCTCTGTGAGTTTGAGGCCAACTTGGTTTACATAGTAAATTTCAGGATAATCAGGGTTAAATATACTACAGATTTCCTGTCTTGAAAACAAGAAATAAGGTAGACTATAAAAACATCATCTACATAAAACATTATAAACAAGGAGATAAAAATTATTCAGTAAATCTTTTGAGACAACTTTTGATCGGTGCTATACATGTGTATAAATACTTAATATTTTATGTTATATATTCATATAAGAAAAATTTTGAAATTTAAAATATGATCTTTTGTATGGAAAAATAATACTTTTAAGTTATAAAAGATAATCTCAAAGGACAAAGTCCAGTTTTATTTGAATATTTGTAAAATATCAGACTTGTATATGGTGAGATTTGTCAAAATGAAATGACTCTCTTCAGCTGATTATAAAGAGGCAAGCTCCTTAGACTTATGATCTGCTTTCCTATGGTAGCCTGCGAGCAATCAACATCATGCTGCGTCCTGCCTACTGCCAGGAACTTCCAAGGGTTCAATTATCAGCAGAGAGACTATGCATTCAACAGACATGATGATGGCTGGGACTATTTCTTTAAAAATAACAGTATACATAGTGCTAACCAAGCTGAGATAAAATGGGAACAAACCATCATTCCCCTCATCACTAGTTCCCACATGGATCAAAAGTTCATGCCCACTTATCTTCACTCTGCAGGAGCCTACCTGGAGACTCCTCATGCACAAATTATCCAACCTAGCATATCCTCTCCAGGAATAAAAAGAAAAGAAAAAGTAGTGAGTGGACAGCAAAAGGATGACCAATATATATCAGGTAGAGGGGGCCTTGCTGATTATTATTATTTATTATTCTTAATTACTCCGATTTTAGTTTGCATTCATTCCTCTCCCAAAGGAACACCGCCACAGTGCTAACAACTGGAATATATGATAAAGATCTAATTACACTAATTCTTTCCCTTTTCCCTCCTTTCTCTTTAGGTATGAGCACATGCATATATGTATATGCCCCCCCACTGTGTGTGTGTATGTGCGTGCATGTGTGTGTGTGTGTGTGTGTGAGAGAGAGAGAGAGAGAGAGAGAGAGAGAGAGAGAGGAAGTAAGTCTTGTTACATAGTCTAGGCTAGCTTTGAACTTTAAATCCTCCTTTGTCAGCCACATAAGAACAACATTAAAGGCATATCTTGTTATACCCACAAGTCCTGAATATTTATGTAAAAAAAACCACAATCAAACATCATAAGCAAACTGTAGACAATGTAAAGGCAAACAAAGTCAGAAACAAATGTAAGACTGTTTCAACTTACAAGTTAAATAAGAGAAAACACTAACAAAGACTACATTTTCTCTTCAGGATCCCATTGAATATTTTTTAATCGCCTATATATGAACCAGAGGCAGTACAAACCACATTCTCAAATCATAATTGAGTATTACTGGAAGTTAATTCCAAACCTGAAATATGAAAATGTATAGTATATAGAAGACAAGCAGGAAAAGTTTTGCACTTCAGCTAAAGAAGAAATCTGGAACTGAGAACATCTAGAAATCATCCGAAGCCAGAGGATATGCTTCACTAAAGTGGTAGCTCAAGGAAAGTTTACAGCTTAGAAGATGACCTGGGAACACACAGCTCTAAATGGAATGTCTCCATCAAATCCTTCCCCTCAGATCTCAGGGAATCTCGTGGAAGAGGAGTCAGAAAGAGGAGCCAGAAGGGATGGAGGACACCAGGAGATCCCGGTCCACTAAATCAACATGATCAAAGCTCATATGAACTCAGAGACCGAAGCAGCAACCACAGGGCCTGCATGGATCTACACCAGGGCCTCTGTGTATATATTACAGCTTTCAGTTAGATTAGTGTTTTTATGGGACTCCTGACTTCTTCTGTCTCTTGTGCCTTCTCTTGGACTTTTTCCTTCTGTTGGTTTGTCTCATTCAACATCTATGTGATAGTTTTTTTTTATCTCAGTATATTTTAGTTTGTCATGTTTTGCTGTTATCGCTTAGATTCCTGTTCTTTTTTAATGAGAGACAGAAAAGGAGTGGATCCAGAGGGGAGAAGTGGGAAGGAACCTGGAGGAGTAGAGGGAAGGGAAACTATAATCAGGATATATTGTGTGAGAGAAGAACCTATTTTCTATAAAAGGGAAAAAGATAACACCAAAGTAAAATAAATGAATTAAGTACTCAATCAACAAATTCTTTAAAAAAAATCCAAAATTAATCCAAAGCAGAAAAGTATTTTAAAAAATAGCAGAAATAAATAGAGTAGAAAATAAATTATATAACTAATAATGAAAGATAAAAACGGAGGGGTTTATGAAAGGGTTTGGAAGAAGGAAAAAGAAGGGGAATTATATAATTATATTAAAATCTCAAAAATAAAAAAAATTAAATTTTGAAAAGAAAAATGAAAGAGTAAAATTGACAAATAATTTACTAGTCAGATAGAATACTCCCGATTGCTTTATATTGCTAACAGACAATATAAACATTTCTCATTCTTTATAGCCTTAAGTCATGAATCAAAAGTAAATTACAGAATTCAAAAGGAGAAATAAGTATAGATACACAATGAATGAAAACAGTAAAAAAAAACCTTTTGATATAACAATTTGGAAAACTTCGGACAATTTCCTGAGAAACCACCAACTGCCAACATTGACTGACTGGAAAAGAAACTATAGTTATCATAGGGAAAAACTCAAAGTAATTAACCAAAAGCACACAAATCACACAGTTTTATATTGTTATGCCAACCTTTAACGAACATACAACACTAATAAAATATACACTTTCAAGACTCTGAAATCTAGGGACGATAGAAGGGATTCAATTCCAACGAGAAGGAAATATAGAAAGAAACAGTAGAGACAAGTCTTTTTTAAGAACGTATACACAAAAACTTAAAGTGTTAGTGAAGAGAATCCAGGAGGATGTTAAAAAATACTACACCATAAACATGCAAGCTCATCTTAGAAATTAAAATTTCATTTAGTATTAGAAACTCTATTCATATAATTGACAATACTAATAAATCAAAAGATAAATGTTATAAA